AACTAAGCACGCTTCATAATAACATAAAGCTACGCATGTGTTGTATTACGACGTTAATATGTACAAGAGGTAACTGTGCTCAGGCCCAGTTAGTCCTGGAGCAGTGTGACAACGTAAGTGTCAGACAACGTTACTGAAAGGATCCTACAGAGATAGAACTTTGTTTATGTCTTTTAACTAAAAACAGCCGTTGCAGAAGTCTCCTCAAAGCCGCCAAACTCAGTAAACAAAAACATAATTTTACCCTGCAGAAGAAGAAAAGAGTGCCTGTCTGCCACTGCCATGATAAAATATCCATCCATACATTATCTATGCCTCGTCCGGGGTCTCGGGGCGCTGGAGCCGATCCCAGCTGTCATTGAGCGGGAGGCAGGGTTACACCCTGGACTGTTCACCTGTCAATCACAGAGCTGACATATAGAGACAGACATATAAACGTCAATGATGTATGGCTCAAAAACAATGTGCACAAGCCGGGGATTACATTGCTGCCGTTACAGACTGCCTCAGGGCTGCAGGCTAACATTAGCAGTCCCACCCAACAGTGGTTTGGACCCTCTTATTAACCCCTCAAAGGGTGCTAGACTCTCGTAAAGGCGTAGGGTATTATCCCGGTGTGAGGACGGCCTATCACTGCTGCTGCATCAAACCTGAAGGAAACAGAACGAGCAGTGATCCCTGAACGTTACTGTTGTGCTCCTGATGGATCTCTCAATAAATGTTTGGATCTGAGCTGGAGCTTAATGTCCAAAACAAAATCTAGGAGGATGTGAGCGTGTGAGTGCAGCGATGCTGTGCTCGCTCTCATTAAAGAATACAAGCTTTAGATGGTGGAGGAGCTGGAGGTTGTGCAGCTGCGAGTGTGTCCATCCCTTCGATGCGTTTTGGAAACACGATGGACTGCTTCTCATCTGATGTTCGGAGGCAGACTGAGGAGACGATTAGAAGGGTCAACATCTAAAAAAAGAGTCTGATATGAAACAAATTAGTGATAAGAAGGAGCGAGCGAGCTGCGCAGACACGTACAGTTAGCGCTCCTCGTTTGATGCTCCATTTAGCAGAAAGACAAAAATCAAGCCATCCCCGGCACCGAGCTGCTCTCAGACGCACGCTCGTTATGGAGTCATATAAGAGGAGGAAGAAGAACAGGCTCAAAATAGACAATGTGCTTTTCCTCTGACTCCTCAGCAGCTGTGATGTGATTTGCAATAAGCGAAGGAACATCAGAGGCTGAAATCCCTACAAAAGCGTTCCACACATGACATTTCCCTCTAATGCTAAAGCAAAGCACAATAAGTCTGAAGCCTTGAGAGGAGAGGCTCACATTAGCTAAATACACAGCCGAAAACACCAGGAAGCACAAATCCTTCCCTATAAAAGCTTTGGGGAAGATAACTCTGATAAAATAAAAACATTTAAACTTCTTACACAACACAACCAGACAACAGAGGAAGCCTGAAACATGTTTGTCTCGATTTTATTTCTGAGTATCAAAACTCTAACATGTGTCTCTAGTCTGTCTACAAACCCCCCAATGATGAGAAAAGTCCATCCTCTCCGTCTTCTGCCTGCTCCACTTTTCAGAAAATGTGTGCTCAAACAGGCCGTTTCATGACATCACAAAGGGCAGTAGCCCCTCCCCCCAGGTGGGTGACACTCCCACAGCTAGGTGTTTGTTCTGCCCTCTGAGTCTGCCTTCTCACCGTAAACAATAGGACATGGAGCGAGAAAGGCCGAGACACATAAGCCCTTCTAGAGAGGGGGCGTTTTCTCCGGGCGCTGGCTGCGCTGCAAGTCCGTCCCGTCTCTATGACAACAGTCTGTTGTTAACAACGGCCACTTTTTACTGCATGTTTAATATTTGGTACAAGACACGACCTGTAAGCGGCAAAACTACGGGGAATATCAAACATTTGGAAAAGAGCGCCGGTGACTTCAACAGCACCCTTCTGAAAAGTTGAAAGATTTTCAACTTGAGCACTCGGAAAAAGTCTTTCAAATACTTCAAATGAAGTCAAATAAAAAGAGAGAGCGAGAACAAACTTCGACTACTAAAACCTGCAAAGTCTGCACCGGAAAGATCGCAGTGAAACCTTAAAATCCACCAGAGTCTCAGCTCGACCTGCAGCTTCCTATCACCATGTTCGTAAAGCAATAAAATAAGGTTGAGTTAGATCATTTAAGTCGACAAAGAGAAAGAAAAAAACCCACAAAAACAGGCAAACTATGAGCTTGTAGTGAATGTATGTTAACTGTTCATGCCAGTAGGTCAGGGGTCTTACTCTCTGAAGCTGATCGAGTGGAGAGAGCGAACCTGAGGAAGCCACTATGTGAAGCGGGTCGTTCCTGATGTTTGCTGGATCACTCTGATCTTGACAGCTTTCTGCTCCAGCTCTAGCGGCACCCCCGGATGAGTAGCACGGCTGGGCACAGGGGGCACCCATCGATCCTCAAGTGGTCTTACTCTGTTTAACCCCCCCCCCCCCCCCATTGAGCAAACACTCTAAAATTGTGAATCCACTTCTCTAAACTCGATTAACAAACAATCTCTGAGGCTCAAAGTCATGATGAAGCAGGTAAGCCGTTCACAGGTTCACAGAGACCCCCCCACCAACATCCGAGGCCCCTTACAGCTGACCCCCCCCCCCCCCTCGCTCACACTGAACCTGATGCTGTTTGTGTTCTGCATCATTAGCTCTCATTACGGACAGCTCCTGGTGCTGAAACCAACTCTAATAACCTGAAACAAGAGACTTAACAGGATGATCAAATAAACGGCTCTGCTTCTGATTCGATTCATCAGTCGTATTAAAACTAAAACAACAACATGTTAATTATGTTTCCTGCTAACAGTCACAACTGCCTGGCAAAATACTCCCATCATGCACTTTTCCAACACTAATACCAACTGTAAGTGACTAATGTGAGGACTTTTTTTTTTTGTCCAACAAAACTTGACCAGAAGACACCAATTAACCCTTTCAATACATCCATCCATTTTCCTCCTCTTATCCTGACCTCGGATAGATACAGACTTCCCTCTCCCAAGCAGCCTTTTCCAGCTCCTCCTGGGGGATTCAGAGGCGTTCCCATGCCAGACGGATATATAATCCCTCCAGAGAACTCTGGGTCTACCCCGGGGTCTCCTCCCAGTTGGGCCTTCCCAGAAGTCCTCCAAAGGGAGGCGTCCAGGAGGATCCTGATCAGATGCCCAAACCACCTCAACTGGCTCCTTTCGATGTGAAGGAGTAGCAGCTCTACTCCGAGCTCCCCCCAAATGTCCGAGCTGCTCACCCTCATCTCCATCCCTGAGCCCTGACACCCTCCAGAGGAATCTCATTTTGGCCGCTTGTATCTGCGATCTCATTCTTTCAGTCACTACCCAAAGCTCATGACCACAGGTGAGGTGTGGGAATGAAGATGGAGCGGTGAAGAGAGAGCTTTGTCTTCAGGCTCAGCTCTCTCTTCATCATGACGGTTCGGTACAAAGCCAGCTTTACTGCCGACGCTGAGCCGATCCGCCTGACAATCTCATGCTCCATCTTACCCTTACTTAAATCTCTCACTGTGGACAAGGACTCACTCCCCACCTGGAGGGAGCAATCCACTGTTTCCCTCCAGAGGACCATGCTTTCTAAACAGACTCCTCTGTGTCTCCAATACACAACAGGCTGAATACAAAGCAATCACAACAGGAAGATACATAAATACAAAGGTGAAAAACAGCTGTACATTTTTACGAGAGGGTTCATTTACTTCCCAGCACATATGAAGAAACCAAAGACCTCAAACATGCTACTCCGTCTTGTCTTAATTATCAGAAAGTGCTGAAAATCTGCCACCTGCTCTGTAGGTTTTTATGAGGTTATCATTGTGTGAAACAAACCACATCACTTCATTATTTTTACAGCCTTTCCACTAACCCTGCAAAACAGCCATCATGCTGATTTATGGAGCCGCTGATCATGTGGGGCAAACACAACAAAGACCTGAAAGCTGCCTCTTCAACTGATTCATCCAACGACAGAGTGTACCATAACAGTCAGGAGGCTCATGATGGTTTCAGGGGTCAACAAGTCAGCTCACCCATCAGAAGACGCAGGAGTCAGTTATTGTAAACTGCAGGCAACATGATGCTTCCAAAGCAGCTTCTGCAGCAGTTTAAAACAGAGGGAGGTTTTCTTTAAATAGGCTCATAAACAACCTCATAAAAGCAGCAACCCCACCACCCTCTTTTAAAGGTCCAATCAGTGAGATGTGTAGAGACTGAAACGATAAAGTGACTTTACTATATGATCAGACATTAAGGAAACAATGCAGCAGCCAGAATGTCCTCCTTCTAACTTTAGGTCCTGAATGCTCTGGATTTGGCACCCCCACACAGCCGTTTTGGACGCCCCTCGGTTTGCCAGATATGAGAGCAGTTATCAGGTCAAACCAACAGGTGTGTGGAGAGAGGTTAGAAAAAGGTTTACAGACCGATGCAGAGCTGGCTAAACACTGAAGCTTCAGTGACCACCACATGGCAACCTGCGTGAGCATCGACTCTAGAGAGGAGGGGGGGGCGGGGACAGCTCTCTACAATGTTTAGAATTTGGACTGCAGTACCCATTTTAAACACCAGGTGTCAGAGTCACATATTGCTCCTTTAATCAATGCACATTTTACAATTCAAACACATCTCCAAGCTGCATGTTACAGGTTGTACCCTGTAACAGCTCTATTCATTATCAAGAGAGACTTCAGATTAAGCTCACAGCTTTATCAAGAACATACAAACAAACTGGATTTCAGACACAAAACTCCAATAACAAAGACCAAACACAGAACAAGTTTGACCAGTCCTCCTAACAAGCACTACAACCACTGGATCTTTTTTTTTAAATCACAGCAAAGCAAAGACACCTAAAGACCAACCATTGACTCAACAGTGCTGCACCAGGTTCTGCAGCCAGCCACACAGGCAGAATGAAAGTGTACTGAAAAGGAGCAGCTCCTACCTCGATGAGGAAGTCCCCCGTCCTGAGACCCGCCTGCCATGCCACCCCTCCCTCGTCCACCGACTCCAGGTACTGCAGCGCGGGGAAGGCGGGCGTGGGAGTGAACTCCTCGATGGGCGTATCCGCTGCACAGCGAGAGCAGACAGGGGTGGTTAGGAGGATAATGAGGAAAGGGAAATACAGACGCGTCACAACAAGGAAAACACTGCTGTGTCTGACCAACAGTGCTCACATCATGAACACTAAACTCTTGAACGTTTCCTGAAACTTTTATTGTGAGCTGCACGTGAAAACACAAACAAGCACACGCTAACTGAAACTCTTCCTGCCAGCCTGCGTGTACGTTCTGTGTGTGAAGCCGAGGGGAGCTGATGGGAATTCAGCAGGAAATATTCAGGAAAACCTATAACGAGTTCCAGTCCCCTCAGTGTTCCTTTAAAAATATTTTTTTATGAATTTAAAGGAGGACTGAGGTGTCAGAGTGTGTTTACATGGATTTGAGTATCCTGATTTTCTCTTTGTACATCCTGATTTCATAAACCGTGATAAGTCTTTATCCTGACTTTGAGAAACCTGATTTTGCTACCTGGAGGACTCAGAAAGAAAACTTGAATCTGTGGCATGTAAACGCCTTACCGTGTTTTCTGACGGCTGCCGACTACCTGCACAGGCGCCGCCTCAGCCATGTGACACATCAGCAAAACAAACATGGCGGCGGCGACAAGAACGTCTTACTTCTGGAGCGACGAAGAAACTGAGTTTTGTCTCTTTTTAGAATTTGTTTTCTAAAGTATAAAAAAGATGTTGTCCTTGGTAAAAGTGTTTTGTTTTTCTAGTTTATAAAAACCAAAAAATGTTTTCCAAAATGTAAATTTTTCTCAAGCTTTGTAAAAGACTTTCACACTTTGTTATTTGGGTTTGCACTTCCCAGACAGTCACAGTTTTAGACTTTCTTTTCTGATAAGCGATGAGTCGACATCAGACATAAAGCGTGACATGTCTGAGAATCCCCCCCCCCCCCAATTACCCACAGTGGTCTCATGTTTCTCAGATTTCTAAATTAAAAAGAAACACCACAGGCGCCTGCACGAATAAGACGCAGTAATCAGAAACTTGACCATGTGTACAGGGAGATGAATAACCAGGTTTCTCTGAGTGCTGGTAAACACCAGATCCTGAACATGATCCAAACCAGGATAATAAGACTCCAAACCAGGAAACTCAAGTCCATGAAACACGGTCACAATCTTTACACTCATTTTGAAAAGTGTCTGTGCAAATTTAAAATTGTCTGAAAGGAGAAAAGGATGAAGGAGAGCTCGTTCATTAGGGCGGCTTTTGTTTGAAATGTTTCTCTTCCTCAGCTTTTTTTCTCAATATACAAAACATAATCCTCAATAAATCAGTTTAAACACTTTAATGATTATTTCATGATGGTGGACAACACAGAGCTACATTTCACATTCTTATACTCTAAACTGAAAGGCCGTCATAGTCACTGCACGCTCACAGAGACGTTAAAACAAACTCTGAAGCCTTTAAACGTCGAGCCTCAGCCAAGAGAGCGATGAACGACAGCGTGCAGGACGAACGTGAAGCTGACCTCGGTGTGACACCGAAGAGCTTTAGAGTAGACCTGAAAACTCTTTCTAAGTCCGGGAAGTGTTCCAGCTTCACTCTTTATCAGGAACAAGTGCTGAGGTCTATTCAGAGAGCTTAGTTTAATACAGGATCAAAAGTGATGAAAACAATGGAGGCTACAAAATGTGCTGTTTGTTTACGCTGGAGGGCCGAGTGGAGACAAACAGAGTTAATGATCTTCAAACACATCATGCATGAAAACGATGATCGTACACACATGCATGCCCAAGCCTTATTTTCATTAGTGATGTTTTTAATGTCGTCTTAACTTTTCCCCAACAGTTTGAGCATCCAGCCCGCTCTCTCTCTATCTCTCTTCCCCCCCCCTCCGCCTCTTTGCTCTCGGGGAGGTTAAAAAATATTGCGGTTGGGAAGAAACCAGTGGTGACAAGTGACACTTCCTATAAATCATCCTGCTACTGGAAGACCAGAGTCCGCGGGCTCGTGCGCGGGGTTTCACTAGGGCATTCACATGATTGTGATGAGTGTGTTTCTTTAGGTGTCGTCCTGCGTGTGACACAGAGGGGGGGGAGAGAGAGGGATGGATGGAGAGTAAAAAAAACACAGAAACGCAGAGAGCAAAGAGAGGATGTGAGCTTATGTGACAGCTCGAGCATCAGTGCATGTTTGCATGCTCGTGTGTGTGTGTGTGTGTGTGTGTGTGTGTGTGTGTGTGTGTGTGTGTGTGTGTGTGTGTGTTCACCCCCGTGCAGGATAAGCTATGCTGGGTCAGTTCCCCCGGGGTGATAGCAGAGTGTGTCAGAGTGACTAGAACATTCCTCTTGTTTTTTCTCTCCTCTCCCTCCGTGTCAGTCCCTCTCTCCGTCTCCTGCCTCCCCCTCTTTTCCCTCTCTCCGTCTTAAAAAAACATGAATTTACTAAATTTACCTCTCGACAGTAACCATGGTGTAGACCAATAGAACGGCACGGCACAGTTGTGGAATGCAACGTGGATTATGACATGGTGAGAATCGTCATAGAAACCGACGCAGCAGCTCAAACTGGCTATTTTTAGAGCCAATCTCACGGCCTGGTGGAATATCAAACTGCCTGGATAGGTCAGTCAGATCACAACAGCTCATGATGTGGAGGGAAGAGGTGGATGATGGTGAGCGCTGCAGAGCAGGTGCACGTCAAACACGAAGTAAAAGCTGATTTTTTTGGGTCAAAATCTGGAAATATAGTTGCATTCCCTTGATTTAACCAATGATGTCATATTACTGACATTTAAATCCAAACTGAAAGTGATTCAGAAACACATTACTATAAAAAAAAAAAGTGGGCAAGTTTAGGAGGGTGACAGCTGTAACTATGACAACAACATGCCACCAAAGTGTGTATGGTGCTCGTAAAGGTCACAATAAAGTTGTTGTTTTTTAATTGCAGAATCCATCTGCATGTTATTGCATGCTCTTATAGTGGGCGTCTTCAAAAATTACTTCATGCATTCTCACATACACAAGATCTAAGATGATGTAAGATGAGTCAAAATGCACAAAATTGCACCATTTTGCAGGAACACACACAAATGATCCTTTGTGGAAGGAGAGAAGTTAATTGAATAATTAGATGTTAATGAGGGTGAATGGGAGGCAGAAACAAATAGTGCACAAAAAGCGCAAAAAAAGTCAGAAATGTTCCTACCTTTGGCCCCCCGCAGCACGAATCCAAAGCCCTCATTCTCCTTCTTCTGGAGCACCACGGTCTTCTCGTCCACCACGCAGTCACTGTGGAGGAGATGCCGAGCAGAGCGCCCGTTAGCACAGCCCATCATCCGCAGCATAGCCACGGACGCCCTGCCCGAGTGGAGGTTCATGCTGTTGGAGGAGAGCTAGTCCGGCCAGGGCAGGGCAGGGCAACCCCGACCCCACCCCACCACCACCACCACTGCCGCCTCCTCCTCCTCCCCCTCCTCCTCCTCCTCCTCTGGCCGGCCTCTATCTCTATCAAACGGTATGACAGCGGCCCCGGCAGCCCGGCGACAGCATCTCCACAAAACACAACGACCCAGAAGAAAAAAAACAGCGGAAGACTACGACGGAAGAGACGCGCCTCCCTCCCCTCCTCACCGCTGATACTCCCCTTCCTCCCTTTCCTCCCCTGCCGCCGCAGCTGCAGCCGAAACGCGGGGTCGGCAGCGCGGTTACCCCCACCACTCCGGCCGGCGGCGAGGCAGGGCTGCGCCGACGAGAAGAAGCGACATCAGGCCGGTGGAGACAGCGGCTAAAAGCTTATGATGAGGCGGGGAGGAAGACTGAAGCTCGCCGGGTTGGTGGGGGGGTGTGGAGGGAGAGAAAGCGAAAGGGAGGGAGGGAGCACCAGCAGAGTCTCGGTGTGGATGATGATGTCTAGGTGCGCGGTACTCTGCAATGTGCGAACAGCTTCAGAACCGATGGCTTGTGGGGAGGGTGTGTGTGTGTGTGAAGGTGTGTGTGTGTGTGTGTGTGTGTGTGTGTGAAAGAAGAGAGAAACAGGGTGCGTGGAAAGGAGGTGACGGCGAGGTGTCGTAATTTTCAGTTAATCGACTTGTTGAAAATCCGGCCAAAGTTTGAGGGTTGCAAGTTTTAGTCACCGACATTCCTTTTTGTTTCCAAGTCAATCATTCTTTGGGGGATAAAACATTTTTTTAAATTCACCGTAAAACTGCAACTTTATTCCAAAACCCACCACCTGTATCCATGGGTGTCACAGCGGGGGGGGAAAGGGGGCTAACTACCCTGGGAACTGCCCTGAAATCAATCTGTAGTTTTGTTTTGGATTTGTTTCTCCCTTATTCCAAGTCAGACTAAACATCTGTCTGTTACAGACTAGGCGATGACAGAGCCATACATTCAAGCTGTGACTGACCAGACGAGACTACAACTACACGGTGGTACCCGACCAATCATCACGAAAGACATGATACGCCATGGAATGAAGAGGGGAGGGGCTAGACGACTCCCGGAAAGAAGACTGTTGATGACAAACTGCAGGCCATCTCCTGCACACTGTCTGAATTGAACAATATTGGGTTATCGAATCTTTCAATGAACACAAATCTGTCTAAATTGCAAAAATACGTTGGCAAAGTTGGGATTTGTGCATCAGACGGAACGTACATGTGACATACAATTCCAAAAATTTGGTTGGACAAATGATTGTCTTGCACATATTTGTTATAAAAGAGATTTTTTTTTTGTTTTAAAGTTTTTCTAAAGTTTGGAAAAGCAGTTTCACACGAAGCTTTTATACAGAAGTTCCAGGAGGAAGTCCTATCCAAACATCCATGTTCCACATAAATAAATCATAAATCCAGTCTGTCCTGTGTAAATGTGTCTCTGAGTCATGACTGTCTACAGTGAGGGAGAAGCTCGAGTCCCGCTGGCTGTGTTGTTGTCAGAGCCGTGTTTACATGGACGGACGGCCGGCTCCTCCCCTTGTGTATAAAAGCTGTTTTAATCAAGAACTAGAGAGAAGAAGAACATACTCACTGATTATTTGGATGTTAGTAAGAGTTTTTTAATCACATTCATTCTGTGTTAATTTACATGCAATGTGAAGCTACGAGCTAACTAAAGAGCGCTAACATTAGCATGCTAACACAACAATGCAGGACACAGCTCGAGCCAAGGATGATTTTTGTCTGCCACTTGTGACTGACTCGCCCGTGTGAACGCGAGTGGAGAGGGGTCGGAGGTGTGTCTCTGCAGGATAGCAGAGGCTTCAGTATGGAGGAGGCGTGGCCAAACAGCAGTTTGTTTTGGTTTCATGCTTGTGCTAAAGGGCGCCATCTACTGGATCAACAAGTCGCACATTCTTCCTTTAAACTTAAAAACACGTGAACACTGTCTACATGGATAATAAGGGCCTGACAGATATATAGATGTATGCATATATTGTCATTGGTATAGACTCATCACAGATAGAGATCAGTGTAACTTTTTTCAGGTATGCATCTTTTGTTTTAAAGAAAATACTGTGACAGAGAAACTTCTTTGGGTGATTGAGCTCTTTTCTGATCACAGGTGGTCACATAGTGACACCTGTAGCTACCTTTAGGGTCTTAATGAGATGCACAAGATACCCTGTTGTGTTTTTCAACCAGCACTTTAGGTAGTTTCTGCACTGCTTAGTATTGGTTTCTCTTCAGTCTAACATGTCTACATCGTACTTCCTGGTTAGGTAGGCAGAAAAAAATACATGAAAGGTCAGGGGAGTATCACGAGGAAGGATTAACACCACACTTCTTCAGGACAACCACCTCTGCTCTGTGGGGCAAAAGATCCTCTGAGCTTCTTAAAATGCTGCAAATTAATTTACAAAGTTGATTTAACGCCTGGTGCGTCGCTCACGCTGATGCTGAAGAGTGCCGTGTGAGTCAAAATGAGACGCTAAGGGCCCCTAAAAAAGTTTCACTTTATGACGCCTTGCTGCACACATAGCAGATGCGGAAGTTATTTGTTTAATAAATAAGCCCGTGGAGGACATCTTGCAGAGAAATACTGATGCACAATCTACAGGTCTGTTCTTGTTTATGCTCACAATTCACAATTCAACAGATTTCTCTCGCTGAATTGGTAGCAAACTTAAAACTCCGGCATCAGCTAGGCGCTAACTCTAAGATTTTCAACAAAGCTTTGCTACAAAAAGCTCGATATGTGTTGCCTTTTTCACATTGCAAACAGGCAACGCGTAATCGAATCTGCACCATGAACAGGGGACATTTGGGAGTCCTCCTCTGCTTAATTCTGCTGTTTGTTCTCTACTCACTTGATCCAAACTTCTTTCAAACACGTGTCTACAGAGAGCTGCTATGTTAGATCAGCAGCTCAACAAAATGACTCAGGTGCAGGAAGAAGCTCGTAGGCTGACGCTCTCCTTAAAACCTACATGTTTCTTTTCCTCAGGACACTGCAGCTTCAAATTGCATGCATTACAAGTTGCGCCAGACTTTTTTTTTTTTTTTTGTTCCGGCTCTTCGCTAACAGTAACAGCAGCAGCGATTGCTAACAAACAGTGTTGTTGCTGCGGTTGTGTACATGAGGAATCCTCCATATGGTGATGCAGCTTCTCTGCAACAAGCGTGAGGATTACTCTGCAATGAAAGGCACCTCTTGAAGTTTGACTCAGCAGTACGCCGTCTAATCTGACAACTTCGCCTTAGCGCAGAATATACTAACCAGGACCCCCCCCCCCCCCTCGCCCCCCACCACCAACACCTGCAGCTTTCTTTTACAGGAATTTGTATAAAATGGTACGTTCCATTGCTCCTCTCCTGCAGTACTCCTGGCTGCTGTTGTGACACCGATCAGCGGTGGAGAGGGAGAGGGGAACCTCAAAGGCCACGTTTGCTCCCCCAGCATCATCAAGGTGCATCGTTCAGCCGATATTTTGTGCTTAGATTACACTGAATGGACACGTGGGATGAGAGAGAGAAAAGACAGAGAGACGAGAGGAAAAAGAAGAAGGAGAGAGAGAGAGAGAGGTGCCACTGCCATCCTAGCAACAGTTCCCCTAGCAACGCAATCTGTCTAGAGAGGAAGGAGGCCCGCACTGCTGACACACTGAAGGTTATCTCACAGCAGTCCCTTACACACAAACACACCACATGCATGCACAAACACACAGACACACACACCCTCTGGCCTGTAGTGGGCGGCCGCTGATAATCACACTTTGATCACCCAAATCTGACACCCCGGCAGCTCCAGTAGGTCAGCGCTCTGCAGAAAAAGGGCCTGACGGTTTATCCAAAGTGTCATCTTGTTCAACAACTGATGACAGAGGGGGCAACAGTGACGCTGTTTTATCAAAACAAAGTGGAGCATGCAGGATGTGGGGCACGCTGCCTGACAGGCTCAATGGGATGAAGTGCAGCTCACCCCAGGGAGCACGCTGCCTGAATCTGGGCTCCACCGTGGGAGGCCGAGGTGTATTTATAGCCTCGAGGAGAGGATCTGTATGTGATGCAATGGAAGTTTGTTTGCCAGACATTCATCTCTTGCTGTCCATGTGAAAATCTTTCTTGTTGTTTGAATGTGTAGCTCAATAAACCAGACTCACAGCGGCTTTTTCCTTCGACATCACTGGCTGAGAAATAACCCAACCATGAAGTGCTAAAAGCTGCATTTCCTTGAGTGTCCACTTGAGTAAATCCCCATTGAGTCCCATGTTAAAGGCTCGGACTTTACAGCAGAAATAAACATCTTTGCAGCCTTGTACAAAAAACAGAAAGATGTCTTTGGTTAGCTCGTTTCTCTATTTATGACAACTGTACGAGGGGGAAATATTTGTTAGCACGTTGATACTCTGATTTGTCTTTGGCAGCCGATCAATGGAAGTCAGTAGTGATGATGGTTTTTCCCTACAGAGAAGACGTGTGATGTTACGTGTTGGGTCATCTCGCTCTTATTCTTCATGGTTGACGGCTGCTGAAGAAAATGATGATCACTTATATATAAAAAGATTGTGGACAAAAGGTTCTGACCTCTCTATCCATTTACTTTAAATGTGTCACATCATAACCTCTGCATGCATTCATTTTCTGCCCTGTGACTCCACAAAGAGTGTTTGGCAGCAGCAGCATCAGCAGCATTTAGTCAGAGACAGCAAAGGGCTGATGTATGAAAAATGCACATCTGGCTCTCCTCCCCGCTCTGCAGGCTCAGTCAGCAACGGCCGACCGTCCACACGTCAGATTCCAAGCGTGAGGGGAAAGAAGGGAGCTCACAGAGCTGGTTTGAACTGTCAACATGTTGGTCTCAAACCATCAGGACATGCAGCGCAAGAGATAAACTACCGTATGTGTGAGAAAGCATTTTAGTTCCAATTAAATGTATTTTCTTCTCTTGAGATTAAAGGTCACATATTCTCCTCCTCTTCAACCAGTTTAAATAAGTGTCAGAGCTCCCCGAAACATGTGTGTGAAGTTTCTTGTTCTAAATCCACTCTGATCCTGTATTTGATCATGCCTATAAACCCCTCTATTTCAGCCCTGCTCAGAACAGGCTGTTTCTGTGTCTGTACCTTGAAATATGTAAATGAGCTGTGTATGACCACGCCCCCTCTCTGGAAGGGCTTGGGTGTCTCTGGCTTTCTCGCTCCATGTCCTATTGTTTACGGTGAGAAGGCAGACTCAGAGGGCAGAACAAACACCTAGCTGTGGGAGTGTCACCCACCTGGGGGGGGTTACTGCCCTTTGTGATGTCATGAAGGGAAAAACTCCAAACGGCCTGTTTGAGCACATATTTTCTGAAAAGTGGAGCAGGCAAAAGACGGAGAGGATGGACTTTTCTCATCATTGGGGGTTTGTAGACAGACTAGAGACACATATTAGTGTTAGATAAACATGGTGAAGTGTGCTTTGGATAATATGTGACCTTGAAACTGTTCTATTCTGTCATCAGTAATTTTTAGCTTTTTGTTTTCCTCTCCTGTTGGGCTCCGTCTCTGTGCGCATAAACACACAGAGCAGGAAAGTTCCTGCCTGCCTCATGCAACATTCATAGCACCCTCTGCCAGTTAAAAAACAATTATGAATCTTTAAAGAGCTAAAGAAGGATCGGTGCTTTTGGAAAAGTCAGCTTTAAAAAAGTAGAATAGAACAAGGAAACATTTTAATATCTGCTGTCAGTTTGTTTTTTTAGAGAAACACGTTCCTGCTCACATATCCAGGTTCAAGTTTAATTTCCAGCTTAGATTTCCCCCGACTCTCTGAAGTCACTCGGGTCGTTGCTCTACATTCGGCCAACCAGCCACCATCAGCGCTCTGGGTGGAGAGGGTGGGAGAGATGGTTCACCTTGACCTATATTGGACTCTAGGACTAGAATTAGAACAACAACCTCCCAGCGTGTTGGAGGAGTCCTGCCCGAGGAAATCCAGCAGAGTTAGGATGAAAAACGTCACGCTGTCCTTTATGGCCCGATGGCTCCACACATTTGATTTCCTCCCGCAGTGCACAGAGACCAGAGAGAATCATTTATCACTGAGAAAAAGGAGTTTGTGTGCGCTATTATTGTAAATCATTACCCGCCAGTTTGGTGGAAACAAAGATCAGATTATCTCTAAGGGTCGTTTCACACGAGGGACCCAGGTCGGGATCCGAGTACACTTGATCCTAAAAGTCCGGTTCCATTGGTCAGTGTCAACACAAACGTGTTCCGTACTGGGGTACTGAAGGGAATGACATGTGTGTAAAGAGCCACAGGTCAGATCTGAACCCCCAGGCCGTCCACTTTGAGGACTGCAGCCTCTGTACATGGGGTGCACTATCTAACCACAAGGCCACAGGCGCCACTGACAGTTCCTGTTAATCTTTATTCCAGGTGTTGTCTCTATTTTTTAGTAACCTCTTTTCGGTCTTTGTTCTGTTTTCTTTCAGACAAAACATGGTTTGGCTGTTAGCACAGATAGCTTAGCGGTTATGTTGTGGGCCTCATGTACAGAGGCTGAAGTGGGTTCAAATCTGACCTCGGCCCTTTGCTGCGTGTCATCTCAACACTCTCTCCTCCAAACATTTCCTGTCTCTCGTCAGCTGTCTTTTCCAAAAAAAGGCCCAAAAGGTTGAATGATTTGTGTGAATCTCCCCATAGCACAGGCCGACAACATGCACTGCTGTGTGTTTCCATTCAGGGGAGTTAAACGCTGCACACCTGATGACGTCTAATCAATGACCTGACGTGATCAAAGACAAATTAGACTCCATCCATATTCATGTTCCTGCACGGACACCCAGCTCACCTCAGCGAGGGAGTCTTCCAACGGGGCTTGTTCTCGATGTCGAGAATTTACTCAAGCTTTCTCTCTCTCTCTCTCTCTCTCTCTCTCTCTCTCTTCCTCTCTCTCTTACACACACACACACACTCACACACTGACAGGGGCTCACACACACACACATCTTTCTTGGTTTCTAATGAAGCTTGCGTTGAAGTGGATGTGACAGAGGAGCAGAGAAGAGTGGGGCTGAATAACTGAAGAGCAGAGAGGTTGGGGGGGGGTTGCCTTGGGATTCAACGTCAGATATCATTAGACGGGACTCTGCAGAAAGATCAGGACTGCATCTTTAATCCTCATGCCTGAAGATTGTTCACCAAACGTCTCAATATAGGAGCCAAATTCTTTACGGAGGATTTGCAGGCCCGACTTAACACCATATATGAATATTAAGACTTTTAATATGTTTAAACGAATGAGAGTGTGTGAGGTGTTACCTGGAGGCATCGAAGCTGTCGTAGGATCCCACAGTGTAATGTCTGAACAGCTTCCGTCTGTCAGCGCGGTCTGCTCGGGAATCTGCCAAAACACAACACAGTGACATCAACATCCACATCGACCACCCCTGTGACCGATCGCAGCACTTTACAGATCAATCAGCGCCGTGAGGAGGAGAGAGCAGGAGCCCAGGACAGGCAAAATGTTTCCTTCCTCGTGATGAATGGCACTTTAAAAAATGCTGCTGCACACTTGTGTTTGTGCAGGACGCGGGCGATCAAGCAGCAGGACACTCGTATTCATTCAGATTCTGTTTATGACAACCCAGGCCAGCTGATTAAATGTGCCGTCATCTTGTTTGGTCATGACATTTTACCAACTTTAAAGCAGCTTCAAACTGTTCTGATCATGCTGCAAACTGTAAACTGGCATTTTATCAGCATGAGAGAAAAGGTGAACATGTTAGCAATCACACACCTGTAAATAAATCCTTCTTTCATACGGTGAAGCAACCTGAGAATAAATGTAGAGTGTGTTTCCAGGACAGCGTTAAACATGTAATAATAAACAGTCAGTCATCGTGAGGCTCTGCTGTTTGTCTCTTCAAAAACAACATTTTATTTTTGATATTTTATGCATTTTATTCAGAGACAGGACAGTGGCTAGAGTCAGAAATCAGGGAGGGCGACATGCAGGAAATGAGCCACAGGTCGGAGGCCGCCCTCTTGCAGGTCCCGTTTTCAAGCTCTGTGTCCTGAGTCATATGTCCCGGTTTTGAACATACCCTGTCTAACCAAAAACAATGCACCAAGCTTGCAACAATGATGTGTCTCTATATTTGTCAATAAGTGTCGTTGCCAAAGCTGTAGCTGTTTGCACCAATAAATAAAAAAATCACTAATCACTAAAGTTCAACAGGCCCACTGATTTGTCTTTACATGTGTCAATCAAGCTCCAGGTTGTGGCTGTTGCTTAGCTAGTCTAGTTTATCATGCTAACAGAACCTGCTGCAGGTAGACGAGCTGTCACACCAAAAGGAAGTCTGCGCTTTCTGAAGAGCTCCAGGAGAGTGACAGCCTCCTTCCTGAAGTACCAGCCAATGAATATGCTGCTTTTTGCACACTCTGCAAGTATACGTTTTCAGTCGCCTACGGTGTAAATGCTGACATACGAAGCCCTACTAAACAGGCTGGAAGTAGAAATGTTGTGACCTTCTTCAGCGAGGAAAACACCTGACAACAGACTTAAACGAGCTGCTCAGGAGGAAACCTTTACCGAGGTGTGATCAGTGCAGGTCACCGATCTGTGGGTCGATTCATGGGGGTTTGCAGGAGATATTAAAGTGTCCCGATTTTGAGGTTTGAAAATATGGTCACCCTCCTCTGGTGTGTTTACAGAGAGCAGCTGTGTATAGTTTTAAACTGATGTCTCTTTAACTTAAAGGTCAGTTTCTGTAGCACGCAGCACTGTCTGAATTTATGTTTTCATACAAAAGAGAAACAAAAGTGTTAAAAACAACATGAAGTCCGGTGTGAAGATTCCTCCTGTCTTATCCTCTTTTATCTATCAGTCCCATTCACCATCTCCTCCCTCCTGTTCTCCCCCCTCCCTCACTCCCTCCCTCCCTCATTCTCTTTGATTCCTTCACAAACTCTCTCGCACCAGCTGTCACACTTTCACAGAAACTCCATCTCCTCTGATCCGGCTTACATCTTGTCATCTTTGCAGGAACATTTTTTATTTTTTTTCGAAAAGGGAGGAAGGGAGGATGGGATCGACGGACAGAGATGGAAAATGGGTTACGTCTTTGTTTCCTTTTTTTTTTGTAGAGAAAAGAAGGAGGCGGGGAAAGAGAGACAAAAAAAACATGTGTAAGGGAAAAAACAGGAGGCTTGAAATAAAGCGAGAGAGAGAGAGAGAGAGAGAGAGAGAGAGAGAGAGGGAGGGAATAATATATCAGCAACATAGTCACACTCCATAGCAACTGCTGTCTGATGCCACCAGCTGGTTTCTATGGTCACAGATCAATAGAGACGGTGCATGCACGCCGTGTGTGTGTGTGTGTGTGTGTGTGTGTGTGTGTGTGTGTGTGTGTGTGTGTGTGTGTGTGTGTGTGTGTGTGTGTGTGTGTGTGTGTGTGTGTGTGTGTGTGTGTGTGCGTGTGTTAACATGCATAAACTAACTGTGCACACAAAAATTTGTGTGTTGCATAAAGACACTACATCTGTACTGCATCTTTGTTCTGCAGCTGTTTTAACAGCGAGCATGTGCACCACCGCCTGTGTGTGTGTCTGTGTGTGTGTGTGTGTGTGTGTGTGTGTGTGTGTGTGTGTGTGTGTGTGTGTGTGTGTGTGTGTGTGTGTGTGTGTGTGTGTGCGCGTGTGCGTGTGTGTGTTTAGGCCTCTCTGGGATCCTTCCATGCCTTTATCTGATTTCTCTCTCCTTGCTTCCTTCACGACTCGAGGGAGAGAGACGTGAGAATGAGATGGAGGATTTGACGCGACACATATTTGCCAAACGGGACATTAACTCGGTGCAGCCTCATTGTGAAAAACAAAACATCATTACCTCCATGTGGCTCGGCTCTATCACCTTGAGAGTTGTTATTCTACTACTACATATATTTATTGCTGTTAAAATGGCAGCTTGTCTCTCTGCAATAACGACAATCTGTTGAAGAAGAAGATAATATAACTTTATGTGTTACAGCACAAAAACAAGAGAGCATGGAGGTGAAATATAAAAACAGAAAGTGTTAAATGTAATACAGAGTAAGTAAGAGTTAGAGATGTAGGAATTCAGTTTGGTGCACTTTGGCGCCCACCGCAGGTCTCTGAGTGCAAATGCACCGTCGTAAAGCACACATAGTCCTCCTAACTCCGCCCCCTCTGAGAGAAAGTGCGTTTGCTGACAATCGGAGAAGCCGGCTAAGACGTTGTTAGAAGTTTAAATCTTACCCTGCTAGTGTCTTTAGCCCGTTGTTAGCTAACTGTTAGCATGTGTATGTGTTTTTCACTGTTACCATGACAACTATAGGCCATGGCTAAATGTCTACATGTAAGAGGATCATTTAGCACATGCTTGTTGAGATAGGTTTTTTGAGGCTCCAAACTTATGATGTTAACTTCAAAGAGACGACTTTTTGGCGTAATTCAGAGCTTGACCTGTCCACTTCCCAAACCTAACTTCTTTTTTTTCCTAACAAAAGCAGAAATACATGAGGGGGATTAACCGGGGCTAGACAGATATTTGATGGGGCTATAGCGCCCCCTAGCCCCGTTCGCTTCAAGATCTTAACTAAGTCCACTCGCTTTTGAATGAAGCTTCGATTCACCACGACTACGATGACATAGAACCTACATCGACATCTTTTAGGCGTAAAACAATCAGACCAATGGAGTCGCCCCCTGCGGGTTGTTAGAAATGCCGCAGGTTAAAGGCACTTCTGCATTGACTTTACTTTGGAAAAGAGAGGGTGCGCCCAAGTCTGTATCCAGTGTTTGCTCTGAGCTGGCTGTCAGAGACATCGATTTGATTCCTTATTGAGCTGTTTATTAAAGTGTTAGAGGGAGGCGTGCTTAATTAACTAAATACTATGTGAGTAAAATAAAATGCATTCATTGTCAGGTTACCTTAGTGTCACAGGTTCACATATTTGAGCATCACTACCACATTTTAATTCCATAATTCTTTATTATTTTATAGAATAATGAGATATAAACGTTATGACAACATCCTGCTGTTCTATTTTTAGCTCGGTGTGAGTGTGTACTCTCAGCTCAGTTACACACTGAAGAGCGTTTACCTAAATCTGCAGCGCCCTGACACTACTACACTGAGCTGTGTGTGTGTGTGTGTGTGTGTGTGTGTGTGTGTGTGTGTGTGTGTGTGTGTGTGTGTGTGTGTGTGTGTGTGTGTCTCTGTGCATATCTGTTCATGTACTCTCCAAGGTCTAACCGTGAACCCTGACAAAGCATGTCTAAGCGGGCCTTAATCCTTCTGCATCACATCTATTGAATTAGAGGGATTAGAAGCTAAAGGTGTTTGACTTACAGCAGTGTGTGTGTGTGTGTGTGTGTGTGTGTGTGTGTGTGTGTGTGTGTGTGTGCGGTCTGTGTGTGTGTGTGTGTGTGCGTTAGTGTGTCAGCACCGGTTCTGATGAGCTGGATGGAGATGTGTGATTGTTTGTAAGCTGATCGTATGAGAGGGGCGGCTCTTCTGGAGGGTTTATCTCTGTTGGATTATTTGATCCTGACCTCAGGCAGACTGGTAATAACTGTTAGATTACACGTGAACACCACAGCTCTGAACGCGGCGCAGTAAAAAATAATCACAATCGTTAAAAGGAGAAGTTTTTCTGTCTGGATTGAGAGATTTATAGTTTTTATTTTCTGTTGTTTTTTTGTGGCACTTTCATCTTAATGCATCCCTGGTTGTCATGGTTACAGACATATATGACATTACAATAAAAGACTTCACAAAGCAGCACCTGTTGGGACGCTTTTCTGTCTTCAACACCTGTTGTAACCACGACAACCACAGACGCATTTGGGCAAAAAAGTCACCAGTCAACATGGACACTTTTTCAACCATAACACCGGTGTTATAAAAAAAAACCTTCAACCTACTGAACCTAGACTCCATCAGGGGGGTATCACCACCAACAGGGTCTAGACTCCATCAGGGGGGTATCACCACCAACAGGGTCTAGACTCCATCAGGGGGTATCACCACCAACAGGGTCTAGACTCCATCAGGGGTATCACCACCAACAGGGTCTAGACTCCATCAGGGGTATCACCACCAACAGGGTCTAGACTCCATCAGGGGGTATCACCACCAACAGGGTCTAGACTCCATCAGGGGGTATCACCACCAACAGGGTCTAGACTCCATCAGGGGTTATCACCACCAACAGGGTCTAGACTCCATCAGGGGGTATCACCACCACACAGGGTCTAGACTCCATCAGGGGGGTATCACCACCACACAGGGTCTAGACTCCATCAGGGGGGTATCACCACCAACAGGGTCTAGACTCCATCAGGGGGGTATCACCACCAACAGGGTCTAGACTCCATCAGGGGGTATCACCACCAACAGGGTCTAGACTCCATCAGGGGGGTATCACCACCACCACCAGGGTCTAGACTCCATCAGGGGGGTATCACCACCACCAACAGGGTCTAGACTCCATCAGGGGGGTATCACCACCAACAGGGTCTAGACTCCATCAGGGGGGTATCACCACCACCAGGGTCTAGACTCCATCAGGGGGGTATCACCACCAACAGGGTCTAGACTCCATCAGGGGGGTATCACCACCACCAGGGTCTAGACTCCATCAGGGGGGTATCACCACCAACAGGGTCTAGACTCCATCAGGGGGGTATCACCACCAACAGGGTCTAGACTCCATCAGGGGGTATCACCACCAACAGGGTCTAGACTCCATCAGGGGGGTATCACCACCAACAGGGTCTTGAAGTATCCAAAGTTTTAAAACAGTTTGATGATGGGCGGTTATGGGATGACTTTGTCTGCAAATAATATAAAATATATTTCTCTGTCGACTCAATCGGCCTCGACTGACTGCTTCACTCAGGCCTCACTGCTCATCTAATGTCAGCACACACACACACACACACACACGAGGGCCCTGTGGCCTTGGCTGAGTCCGCCTCTGAATGGGTCCTTTGCGAGCCACCATACTGTGCTCCCATTTTCTGACAGGCTTTCTTTGCAGGCAGACCCCGGGGGCGATTTGGACACAGCTCAGTGTGAGAGGAGCCCCCATGTGCCAAGGGCCTCGGGTCAGACTTTCAAATGAGACACCCAGAAGAAGACAAACAGAGAGAGAGAGAGAGAGAGAGAGAGAGAGAGAGAGAGACAGGTTTGTCCCCATCACTGCTCACATCCTCCTCAGAGCGGGATGGACCCACAGAGCAGGATGAGGGAGGGGTGTTCACTCTACTAAGTGTCAGAGAAAAAGGGAAAGCAGAGGATGAAGAAGTTTAAAGAAGAAGAGGGACAGGACTTTTCTAAAACCTGGGTAGACGTGTTGATTGTTTCAGTCCCGACTCTGAAATATCTTCAAAGTAAAAAGTATCTCTGATGGTCGTTTCTGTCAGCTGCTTGTATGCTAAGCTAACTGAAACTCAGCTCAGACGTTCTCTGCTCTGAATCTGCTGCTTGTTGTACGTCGGCCATGTTTGCTGCTTCACTTTGGCCCCCCCCCCCGTTTCAACCAAGCGTTCTGCTCCAGCTTGGTTCGGTACGGTACACATGTACACATGCTAAAATAACCGATTCCTACTGTAACACTCAGGAGACAAAGGGGGTAAGATGCCTGTTGGCTGCAGACTGCATCCAATTGGCTCAGGTGATTTGATTGACAGATGCTGTTGTCCAATGGAAGGGACTATTTCAGCAGTGTCACACTACCATCCCACTTTTTTAGCTACCCTTCTGTTGGGATGCTTAGACTCCATCAGGGGGGTAATCCTATCCTGCTGCTGGCCCTGCTAACCCTCTAAGTGCATGAAGTCATCATCATGACGGAGTCTACTCGCTGTAGTCAAAGCTGGAGCACCCGCCATGTTGATGGCTTTAATTGCTTTCTTCTGCACATTCATGCTGCTCGACTTCCTGGTCAAAGACCCGGCACGGGAACTGTGGAGCACGCTCAGAACGCCTCGGCCAGTTTCAGGTCCGACTGAGGTTTATAAATGCACGAGTCATGATTTATCTGTAGTGTGTGATGATGCACGACTGTGTGACGTCTCTCCTCTGCTGACAGCGTCTCTCTCCACGCTCGGCTCTGAGACGCTGGCAGCAGGAGAAGAGATAGCGAGGACAAGGAGAAATGGGATGTTTACGGGGGACGGAGCATGGCGTGATATGTTCATTAGCTCGCACCCAGAGGACATTTGAGCACAGCTGAGTGGGCAGAGGCGATGTAGCGCTGAGCTTTGTGCACCGCAGCCTGAGGAGACGGAGAGAGACAGACGAGCAGAGACACATGCAGCTAATGCACGGGAGGACAAGAGGACACATGCAATCACGCCGCCTCGGGAAAGCTGCAGCATCGAGCCTCTTTGATGATCTCCATGTCCCCTCTCTCATGTTTATGTCCCCTTACTCGTGTCTCCCTTTCCCCTCACTATTCCTCATGTCTCTGTGTCCCCTCCCTCATGTCTCTGTGTCCCCTCCCTCATGTCTCTGTGTCCCGTCCCTCATGTCTCTGTGTCCCCTCTCCCTCATGTCTCTCTTTCCCCTCACTATTCCTTGGTCCTCTCTCGTCTCTGTGTCCCCTCCCTCATGTCTCTGTGTCCCTCTCCCTCATGTCTCTGGTCCCCTCTCCCTCATGTCTCTGTGTCTCCTCTCCCTCATGTCTCTGTGTCCCCTCTCCCTCATGTCTCTGTGTCCCCTCTCCCTCATGTCTCTGTGTCCCCTCATGTCTCTGTGTCCCCTCCCTCATGTCTCTGTGTCCCCTCTCCCTCATGTCTCTGGTCCCCTCTCCCTCATGTCTCTGGTCCCCCCTCCCTCATGTCTCTGGTCCCCCCTCCCTTATGTTTCCGGTGTCCCCGCCTTCTAATCTTTGCGCTGGCACCGCTCATTGTCAATACAAAACAGAAGCAGTTCAGGCTGTCAGCGCTGTGCGTCAGCTGTTTCTATTTTACTTGGTGATTTTTTAAAACAAATTAAATTAAATTGAAAACAATTCAACCAGAAAGTAGAAAATACTCCAAAAAATATGAAGTGAAGAGTTTTATGCTTATAAAAACATCCCCACCGTAGTATTCATTCATCCCCAAGACATCCTTTGCCTCCCTCTCTCTCTCTCTCTCGTCCTCTCTCTCTCTCTCTCGTCCTCTCTCTCTCTCCACAAACTGGGTGTCGGCAGACAGCTTGTGTCCTACATAATAAGTCAGCGTCCCACCTCCAACCTGAGTGTGTTACTCACAGCTCCTCTCCTCGGTGGCCTTTGCCGGGATCTCCTCCACGCAGTCGGCTGGAAACCAGCCCACCTGGCCGCGGGCGCTGCCCTCCCAGAAACCCCCCTCCCCGATGCTCAGAACTGGACCGAGGGGAGGAAGAGGAGGAGAGAGGGGAGGGGGAGGAGGGGGAGGAGGGGGAGAGGAAAGAAGACAGTTAAAATTAGCTTGAGAACAGTGCGTCCCCAGAGCTCATTTAAAGACTTGAGTGAAATGTCACATTTGAATAGAAAGTAGAACAACAAAGACTTCACGATAAATCAAACCTGAGGCTGAAGAATTTAAAAGGTGTTTACGGTATCCCAATAAAAGACTGTGACAATACTCATCATGGAGCTGATAAAAAGGATGAATTTTAACGACACATTGGTGATTAAATGTCAGCCGGGCGCAGAGCGAGCCGCGGGACGTCTCATCTGATGTCGAGCTCAGTGTTTACAAGAATGTGCTGAGAAATAACAAATCATTACAGCTTTTATAAACCTGCACTTTGATAGACTGTTATTCAAAAAACAGTCATTAATCTTATCTTTGTATTCTACGGAAGCCCTAAGCAGACATGCACGCCTCCCCACGGTTAATGTTTGTAACATTCCCTGCTGTATTTATCTCGTTATCTCGAGGTAACTACGCTGGCTTTCCAGCGATAACCATTTTGTTTCACTTGCATTCTCGAGGTCTCAGTTTATTTTTCTCATCACCTCAGCGTTACAAGGCAGGTGGTAACGGATCATTTTCAGGTGATCTAAAGCAAAACGACAGTCTGAACGCTGTGATTGGTCAGACCTCAACACGCCATGCAGCCACTTCCACCCTAACAAGGTAAGTTAAACATATTTCTATAAAGGTTTTGTGCTTTCATTACTCTGGGTATACAGGGTTAGATGTTAAAGGCATGAAACCAAAACAAACTGCTGTTTGGCCACGCCTCCTCCATACTGACCTCCACCTCAGTGGAAAGGAAGTGTGGACAACAGGAACGATACAAAGGAGAAATCCTTCGTGCATATTATCCCATATGCTCTTTTTTGTAAAGCGTCTCAAGAGAACACTTGTTATGAATTGACGCTTTACATGTTTTTTTATTCCTTCACTTCATTTACCTCCTCAGGACGGAGGTAGAGAGGTGCAGAAGGGCTCGCCTTGGGAAGAGCCTGATCCCTGCTGTCAGAGAGGCCCTGAACAAAAGGCCTTGCTGAACAGGCCAGAGTGGGATCTTTCATTGTTGTCTAACTCTGTTTGTTCTATACTTGTGTTTTGTGCTTGTCCTGTTCTTTGGTTTCATCCTGTATGTTTGCTTGCACAGAAGCTGTTCTGCAGCACTGAGTACATTCATCAAAAACAATCGAGTTCTTTAAAAAATCAATACCCTCGGTAATTATTTTGGACGAAATCCTTCCTGCTGAGCTTTAAAAATAAACTGTTGGAAGTGCAGAGCAGCTTATGATATTTTATTTACACATTAACAGCAGCTTATCACAGATGTTTGGGGCTTAGAGGAAGTCCTGCCGGATTACTCTGCGAATATTTCAGTTTGTGTCCACTCACCAGACCTGCACCGAGTCGCAGCTCACTCACACTTAATGTCCGCAGACGAGGAGGAATATTCCTCTGCCTTAGAGCAGCCGGGAGACTCGTTTTTCATCAGATATGCTAATGTGCTGTTTGATTTCCAGTCGGTCTCATTTCAGACATAATCATGGAATGAAGGCAGAGATGAATCAGCGGCTTTTACTCGCTTTTTGATTTTCACATTTATTATTCATCCGCCAACGGGGCACAAATTACATTTTTCTTTCCCTCTCTCCTGTTGGGCTCAGCACTGGGATCTAACCTAAAGGCAGGGTTTGGTAATTTCCTCCAGATCCACTTTTTAAGATTTTGGTTGAAATTGTCTTTAGGTCCTGACAGAAATTAATAACTCATGTTCTCTGAAAAAGGAACAAAGACAATCCATCATCTGTAGCAGTTGTAATCCTGTAAAAACTTCAACCAATGTCTGCCACGAGGTACCAATCTGATGAACCAATCAGACGCCTCCCTGTCTCCCTGCTCGCTCTCTACCTCTTGTGTGCTCTGCCTCACACTCAAAGTGCGTCACAGATGTCGGAGTTTATACTGAGAGTTTACTGACCGCTGAATGAGACATGAGACGACGTAGTTTCTACACAATGCAAGACATGAGCTGAGCTACACTTCTGGAGCAACGGCGCTCGTGCATGTAAGTGAGGGGGCGTGGCTTTAGAGGGAGCACAGAGGGGAGGGGGTGGGTGCAGACGGAGCACTGAGGGAATGCTACTTTCAAAATCATGCTAGTTTTAGAAAATTACCAACCCTGACTTTAGGCCCTGAGTAAACTTGCTTTTAACTAAGTGTATGTGAACGCATGACATCAGACTTGTGTATCCTGCGGTGGTTTGGAGCGTTGGTTGTGTAATATGCATATAACCACTAGGAGCTTGTATATGTGAGCCTTTACATATATGGTAAGGAGTTCTTCTTGACTTTGATTCAGTTTTGAAGGGAATTTAACAGATTTACAGATGAAGTTTTTTACTTTAAAGCCGAGACTTTGTTCTGTATGGATCCCGTCAGTGATGAAAACAAAAGAACAGAACCCAGGTTAACCCCGTCCTCACCTTTGACCCTGTCGCTCTTGTACAGGTTGATCTCCCCCTCGGCCTGTGCGGTGTACGAACGAACCACCACAAAATGTCTCCCAGGAACGGCGCTGTACAGCTTCCTCCGGGGGCCCGCGGCTTTGTCATGACTGCTGGGGCTGAAGGAGAGGGAAAAAGAAAGAGACAACAGAGGTCAGAAAACACTTTCAATCACGTGAAATGACAAAAAAAACACCAGACTCAAAACATCCTGCAGAAAGAGGCAATGTACATTATCAGGATGTCTGCATGATTCTAAAGATTATAAAGGTTGTTATGAGCTCACATTCTGTCTCAGGGACTTACTTTGGTGATAGTCTGTGGCTTGTTTTTGGTTCAGGTTTCTGCACAGGTCTGTGAAACTCGTCTAATAAATCCCTCAGATTTGACACTGGAACATCCCATTTTCTTTACACCACATGAACGGCCTCCTGATACATGTTCCCTACAGACTCCGACCTCTGATCACATGGACGCATCATAATTATAATATGAATCTTTATTTAAGTAAAAGAGTGTCTTTTTGGATTTAGAAGAGATGACTGACTCAGCTGCCCTGATCTCCTCGGGCAGTTTTGGGGCCCTCACGGCAAACGCTCCCTCTCCTTTAGTTTTTAGTCTGGAGTATGGAACGAACAGAAGACCTCTGCCTGAGGAGCTCAACGTCTCAAGTCGTCTCACATCATCATCTTGCCCGCCTTGCTTTGTAAAGTGTCCATCAGTATTAACTAATCCCATTCACACACAGCTGACGAAGCAGTGGGAGCAACTTGCCCAAGGACACATTGGACATGTGGCTGCAGGAGCTGGGGATCGAACACCGAGCCTCCACCGAGAGATGACCGACTCTACCACTGATCCACAGCCACACCATGTGTGTGTGACTTTCCTTGTAGTGTCATTTGATTTATTATTTAGTTTCGGGAAGATTTAGAGGAACATGAACCGACAACATGCCAAGCTCCCTAAAATAAGACACACACACACACACACACACACACACACACACACACACACACACACACACACACACACACACACACACACACACACACACTTTAACCTCTCACACACAGCCACACTGAGTTCATGTATAAGGATACACACACACACACACACACACACACACACACAAACCAATTATGCAGAGCAGATATTCAGAGGCCAGCAGGCACGTGTCTGCTGAAGTAAGTGGGGCAGAATGTGTGCAGGCTCTGACCCACAGAGCTGCAAAGGCTTCTGGGTAGGAGACAAGACACTGAAAAGACCGCACAGGGAGCTGCTCGGGAGCCGGCTGCATTAAAGAAGGAAAATATCCAAAAGAGAGCGGGCAGAGTCGTCTGATTCTGTCCTGTCGTTCGACATCAACAGATTGTGTAGTAGTCAAGTCTCACTCCTCCCTTTGCTTGCAGCACACCCGAGTACTCAGGTAGGAGGAGGTGAGAGTGGCAGGAGGTGCACACACACACACGCTCTGTGCAGAGAGTGAGGAACTCTTTGCTCCTCTTTTTTCCCCAGCTTTCCGTTCTTTACCCTCGGCATGTCCAGACTGCTGGGTGTCGTTATTCTAGTTTGAGCTGCAGACCACTGGGCGTCCTGTTTTCGGTTTAATTTTCATCTAATTCTGTTTTCTTTAGGTTGTTTTTAGGGGGAGGTGCCGAGAGCTACGTCCCATTGTGAGGTTCTCTCAACACCTTCCACTCTTCCGTTCTTCTTGATCGGGGTCTCCAGACGGTTTTTGTTCTGTTTGTTCTTAAAAACTTGAACCTGTGTGGCGTCCTCATACCTTCTGGTCTCCTGAGCCTTTGTGTCTCATTGTGACAGTAAGGACGTTTTTTTTTTTTTTAAATACTCAGAGAGCGTTTTACTTTGACACCCAGAGGTCGAGAGTAAGCCAAATTCTGGAGGATAAAAACAAACGCTTCTTTAATGAGTCACACAAAAAACATGTGTTCGAAAATGATTGATCTGAGTGGAACATCAAATCTAAAGACAAGAAGCTGTCGTTTGACCTACACAGTGCAGCGATGTCATTTTTCTTCTAGTTAAGCCTCTAAACATGTTGTAATCTCATTGGATTTATAGGACACTGAGAAAAAATAAAGTTATAAGAGTCATGAGCTAGAATCAGACAGGATTCTGCCTCTGGATGAACTGTAAAGATGAGAAAAAGGATGTTTGAATGACCTTTGTGAAGTGTTTGTGTTTAATCCCTCGAATGTCAGCGATGCCTGATGTCATTAAAAGTACCGTTCAGCTCACATGACCTCCAGAAGTCATGAACCTGATGCAGCCGTCCGTCCATGGAGTGGAGATGTGACCACAGTGAGGACTACAGCGGTGCTGCTGACGGTGTCTGCAGTGATGATGCAGCGCCACTTAGTGGTCAACTTCCATAACTACACTCCTCACAGGAGAATGAAGGATGGAGGATACAAACTGAGACCACTGAGGAGCAGAAGGATGTTTGTGCTCATGGCATATAAAAAGTTAATGCAAAGGGAACCTGTCTAATGGAATGATTTGATTAAAGAGAAGCCAGCTGTTTGAAATACAGTAAGAACATTTTACTCTATGAAGAAGAAGATTTACTTTATTAATCCCTCGAGGGGAAACTTAGTTTTAAACTCTGTTATTGAACATGCTACACACTGAAATGAACACATGCACAAACAGGATCCTGTGGACATGCACTGATGGAGGGATGTCAGAGTGAGGGGGCTGCACACAGCAAGCGCTCCTGAGCTGGTGAGGGGGGGGTTCGGAGCCTTGCTCAAGGGCACCTCTGCAGTGCTCAGGAATTGAACTGGCACCTCTCCAGCTAACCAGACCAATTTCACCGGGACTTAAACCGGCCACCTAAGGTGCCCAACCTATCTCCCTACAGATTGAACTACTGCTGCTCCAAAGAAGTACCTTGGTCGGGAATTTAACACGGGCCCAGCGGTGAGAGCGCCGAATCCTAACCACTAGACCACCAGGGAGATGATGCATTTATCTCTCGCTTTTTAATGTTTCTTCTTTCCTGTCATGATGCTTTTCATGTCGTGTGTGAAGCACTTTGAGTTGTCTTGTTGCTGAAATGTGTGATAGAAATAAACTTGCCTTGCCTTGCTTTTTAAACAATGCTAAATAAAAAATAAAAGAACACAAAGCAGTACAAGGTAACTGTCATTTGAAGCTCAACTGCCACATGAGCCATTCAGAAATATTTCTGTGAAGGAAAAACGTTTGCATGTTCAGAGATTTGGTTGTTGTTGAGCTGAATCTCGTCTCCATCGTCCTGCCACGTTTAGATACATGAAACAGCAACCGAGCAAACAAACAAACAAACAAACAAACAAACAAGAGCCAGAGTCTTTAAGTTCACTAAGAAATCTGAGCAGGAGCAAAGTCAGAAGGAGAAGTTGTTGATTTGCAAAACTTAAGATTTTGTATAACCTTTTTTAAATCAGAAATGTATTTTACACGGCTTCACCCTGCTGCAGTGGTTAGTGCTGTTGCCTCATAGGGATTTGAACCAGGCCCGTCTGGCAGGAGCCTCTCTGTGTGGAGTCTGCATGTTCTCCTCGTGCATGTGTGGGTTCTCTCTGGGTACTCCGTCTTCCTCCCACAGTCCAAAGACATACTCGTTAGGTTAACTGCTGACTTTAAATTGTCCGTAGGTGTGAATGTGAGTGTGGCTGGTTGTCTGTCTCTATATGTCAGCTCTGTGATTGGCTGGTGAACAGTCCAGGGTTTAACCCCGCCTCTCGACCAATGACAGCGGGGATTTGTTCCAGCCCCCTGACAAGAAAAGCGGTAAAGATAATGGATGGATGGATGGATTTACATGCAGTTAAAGGTTTGCTCTTCAGTTTGTTTGCACATTAAAGACAAAATGTAGGTAGAATTATCGCGCTGCTTTTAGTCTCATAAATTAGCTCTAACTTCAGTTTGAAGTTAATGGTAAAATGGTAACTTTGTTTACTTAGAAAGTCAGAAGAAAGCGTGGATAGGAGGGGCGGTCTTTGAAGTAGATCATATCGATCCCCTGGAGCTCATGCAGTTTCTGAGGACGCTGCATGAACATTTATTTTTGAAAAAAATAAAATCATGCAGCATGAACACAAAAACAAGGACGTCACCTTTAGATATGAACAGGAACAGAACTGCCAGGACTTCAGTTAGGGCAGATTTCTATCTTTTAGATTGTGGATTCATATCATCAAAGAGGAGAACAGCTTGTATGAATAATGCAAACTTCAGAATGAGTCGCATCTTTTATTGAATTGTCTCTAATAGGATGAGCTCAGAACATCCTTCATAAATAAAATGGCTTAATGCACCAACAACGACACATTTAATGTTTCAAAGTTGACATTTTTTGTTTCTTGAGTAACGCCATTATGTCTGTATGTATGTAGGGTGTATGTTATTCATGCATGATGCAATAACAAAATAAGATCAATCAATTGTAAATGTATGACTGAATTGTTTAAAAGAGATGTTTAAAAGTTTAAAGGTCACATATTCTCCTCCTCTTCAACCAGTTTAAATAAGTCTCAGAGCTCCTCAAAACATGTGTGTGAAGTTTCTTGTTCTAAATCCACTCTGATCCTGTATTTGATCATGTCTATAAATCCCTCTATTTCAGCCCTGCTCAGAACAGGCTGTTTCTGGGTCTGTACCTTTAAATGTAAATGAGCTGTGTCTGACCACGCCCCCTCTCTGGAAGGGCTTGGGTCGGCTCAGGCTTTCTCGCTCCATGTCCTATTGTTGACAGTGAGAAGGCAGACTCAGAGGGCAGAACAAACACCTAGCTGTGGGAGTGTCACCCACCTGGGGGAGGGGTTACTGCCCTTTGTGATGTCATGAAGGGAAAATCTCCAAATGGCCTGTTTGAGCACACATTTTCTGAAAAGTGGAGCAGGCAAAAGACGGAGAGGATGGACTTTTCTCATCATTGGGGGGTTTGTAGACAGAGTAGAGACACATGATAGAGTTAGAGAAACATGGGGAAGTGGATTTTGCAGAATATGTGACCTTTAAAGTCTGCACATACGAGAACTTTAACTTTCATCTCAAATAAATGAAGCCAGAAAGAACGCCTGTCAGATCAGGACATAGAAAAGAAGGG